GTGAAGGTGAAAGGCTGACTGGTTGGGGTGAAAACCAGGCCGCACAGGGTGCTAAGGGTGCGAAAAATTAAGCCTCTAAGTAAGGCCCTGTGACAGGTGGTATCAGAGCCCGTTTTCTGGGTTCTGAAGACTACAAGTCGGGGAACGATGGGTGATCATAATCGACGGGAAGAACAAGTGTTATTGTCCTATGGGGCACGGATACAAAGATTGGAGGACCTGCTGGGGCCACCGCCTCAGACACCGTTGCAAGCAACTGTCTTCGAGAAATTACGAACAACAAACGATATTCTCGAGGATCTGCGGGTGACGGTGCAAGCCTTGAAAAAATCGGTAGACTCCTTACCCGAATTTGTTGAAGGAAGGATTGATTCTGTTAACGATGAAGTCAATTTGCTGTCTGATGCGGTGAGTGAAAAGATTGGCAAGGTACAAGATGATATATCATTGCTGAAACGTGTTGGTGCCAATGTTCTCAATGAACAACGGCAAGGTCCACCAAAAGTCCGGGTTCCTGATCCTAAAGCCTTTGACGGTTCTCGTGATGCAAAGGAAGTTGAGAATTTCCTATGGGATATGGAAGTATATTTCCAGGCTGCCGGAGTCCCAGATGGTCAGAAAGTTTCAATAGCGAGCATGTTCTTGGCCGGGGATGCGAAACTTTGGTGGCGTGCGCGGGTGTCTGATGATGCCAGTGCAAATCGCGAGGAGATCACAACGTGGGACACATTGAAAGGTCTGTTGAAAGATCAGTTTCTCCCGGGGAACACAAATTGGATTGCCCGTAACACGCTGCGTAACTTACGGCATACTGGTGCTGTACGGGATTATGTGACGGAATTCACTTCTGTCATGCTTGATATCTCTGAAATGTCAGAGAAGGACAAACTGTTCAACTTCATGGCCGGTCTTCAAGGCTAGGCCCAAGCAGAGTTAAGAAGGCAAGGTGTGAGCGACCTGCCATCGGCGATTGCTGCGGCAGAACGACTTGTTGATTTTAAAGTCGTTGGTGGACCTGAGTCGGGCCATAAGAAAAAGGACTCGACTAAGGAAAAAAGTGGGAAATTCAAAAAGCATAAAGATGGTGGCAAATACAAGAAGAAGGCGGGGGAAAAGAAGGAGAATAAGTCCCGAGAGTCTAAGAACCAAACTTTGGTTGTGGACCGTTCAAACCGCGGGTGCTTCTTGTGTGATGGTGACCACCGCATGCGGGATTGTCCTAAACGTGCGAATGCCAAAGCAAATGCGGTGGTGGTGCAAGGCACTTCCAAGGATGCTGAGGAAGGTACCATGGGTCTTAACTCGATGCTGCTGTTGAACCAAGTTCAGAAAGTCCCTGTTGCATGTGACGGCTTGATGTACACTAAGGTGGCCATAGGGAACAAAGATATTATGGCCTTGGTGGATTGTGGTGCTACCCACAGCTTTGTGAATGAGGAGTATGCTCGGAAGCTGTGCCTTACTGTTGAGCCTCACGAGGGAAAGATGAAGACAGTGAATGCTCAAGGTGAACCAATCAAGGGTGTGGCCCAAGTTGAGATGCAAGTTGGACCCTGGAAAGGATTGTGTGCGTTGCACATCGTCCCTCTTGATGATTTTGCGATGATTCTCGGAATGGATTTTATGAGGAAGGCGAAAGTCTATCCAAAACCCCACGAAGGGAAGCTGTTCGTGGTTGATGATGGGAGAGAGCAGGCTCTCGCCGTCAAATTTGCTGTCCCAAAGAAAGATACGAGCATGTTGTCGGCCTTACAAGTTCGTGATGGACTAAGGCATGGCCACACAACGTACCTTGCGGCTTTGATTGAGACCAAACCAGACGTATTTTATGAAGTACCGGATATTGTTGGTAAAGTGCTTGATGAATTCAAGGATACGATGCCCCATGAGTTGCCTAAGGAGTTGCCTCCACGTAGACCTTGCGACCATCGGATTGAACTGGAACCGGGTTCTCAGCCCCCTGCTCAACCTCCTTATCGGATGCCACCAGCCGAGCTGGCCGAATTGAAGAAGCAGTTGGATGAGCTACTTAGTGCGGGATTGATACAGCCTTCAAAGGCACCTTACGGTTCCCCAGTTTTGTTCCAAAGGAAGCAAGATGGATCGATGCGAATGTGCGTGGACTATCGGGCGTTGAACAAAGTTACCATTAAGAACAAGTATCCAATTCCAAATGCATTGGACCTGTTTGACAAGCTGGCTCAAGCAAGGTGGTACACGAAAATTGATTTGCGTTCTGGGTACTGGCAGGTGCGTATTGCCCTGGGCGATGAGGCAAAGACCACTTGTGTGACAAGGTACGGGTCGTTCGAATTTTTGGTGATGCCCTTCGGGTTAACTAATGCTCCTGCTACGTTTTGCAATTTGATGAATGATGTGCTGTACGAGTACTTGGATAAATTTGTGGTCGTATATTTGGATGACATCGTGATCTATTCTGAGACGGTTGATGAGCATGTCAAGCACTTGCGATGTGTGCTTGAGAAATTGAGGGAAAACAAGTTGTATGCTAAGAAGGAGAAATGTGAATTCTGTCGGGAGGAAATCATATTCCTTGGACACATCATCAGCCAAGGAAGTATTCGCATGGACCCTAAAAAGGTGCGGGCTGTTGCTGATTGGCCCGAACAATCCAAAGTGACCGAGTTGCGCTCCTTCTTAGGGCTGGCAAACTACTACCGAAGATTCATTAAAGGGTATTCCAAGGTAGTCAGCCCGTTGACGGATTTACTGAAGAAGGACAGGTGTTGGGAGTGGGACAAAGCTCAACAAGTTGCCTTTGATTTGCTGAAACAAGCTGTGACCAAAGAGCCGATATTGAAGTTGGCAAAGTTCGACCAGCCATTTGAGGTACAAGTCGATGCTTTAGATCGTGCTATTGGTGGGGTGTTGGTCCAAGACAAACATCCTATTGCTTTTGAGAGTCGGAAATTGAAGGATGCGGAGACCCGATACAGTACCCATGAGAAGGAAATGACGGCAGTGATTCATTGTTTGGAAATGTGGCGTCACTATCTTTTGGGAACAAGGTTCACGGTTGTTACGGACAATGTAGCCAATACTTATTTTCGAACTCAGAAGAAGTTGTCCCCAAAGCAGGCACGGTGGCAAGAATTCTTGGGGGAGTTTGATTTCGATTGGGTCCATCGGCCGGGGAAACATAATGATGTTGCTGATGCTCTAAGTCGAAAGGCTGTGGCGTCCTATGTGTTGGCCTTGTATGCTGTTGAGTCCGACTTTGTTGAGAAAGTCCGTGGTGAATCCCTTAAAGATCATGTCTATGTAAAACTCGCCGAGCAAGTGGCAGCCGGTGAAGTGCGCAAGTACTGGCTAGAGGACGGCTTACTCTATGCCAAAGGTCGAAGGATGTATATTCCATCGGGAGGAATGAGGCGCAAGCTGCTGAAAGATTATCACGATTCTCAGTGGGCTGGCCATCCCGGTGTTGAGCGTATGTACGCTTTGATGATGCGAAAGTTTTATTGGCCGAAAATGCTTGATGACGTTGAGTCCTATGTCTGGACGTGCCTTGTTTTCCAGCAAGACAAGACCGAAAAGAAGAAAGAGGCGGGCCTGTTGCAACCCTTGCCTATTCCGGACAAGCCTTTTCAGTCACTATCTTTGGATTTCATTGGTGGGTTTCCAAAGGTGAAAGGTATGGCCTCGGTATTGGTCATTGTTGATCGATTTTCAAAGTATGGTATATTTATTGCTGCTCCAGGTGCATGCTCGGCAGACCTTGCTGCTGAGTTAGTTTTCAAGCATGTGGTGAAATATTTCGGTATGCCCGATGAAATAGTGAGTGATCGTGACCCGCGCTTCACGGGACGATTCTGGACGACCATGTTCAATTTGATGGGGACCGAACTGAAGTTTTCCACGGCCTATCATCCTCAAACTGATGGCCAAACTGAACGGATGAATCAGTTGCTTGAAGAATATCTAAGACACTATGTGACCGCAAGCCAGGATAATTGGGTGGAATTGTTGGATATGGCCCAGTTTTGTTATAATTTGCACAAGTCCTCGGCGACCGGTATGAGTCCTTTTGAGCTGGTTTATGGACAGCAACCTCAGCTACCGCATGATGTAGCGGTACAGCGTACTGGTGGGAAATGTCCCGCAGCCTATCGGTATGCTCGGGCGCAGCACGAACTCTTGATAGAGGCCCGAGATAGCCTTGCTAAGGCACAGCGAAGGATGAAGAAGTATGCAGACCGCGGGCGACGGGATGTGCAATTCGCTGTTGGGGATCTAGTGTTGTTAAAAGTGAGCCCAAAGGTATGGAAACGGATTTCGGCAAAGGCAGTCCATCGTGGACTGATTCCAAAGTATGAGGGTCCCTTTGAAATCGTGAGCAAAGTTGGGAATGTGGCCTATCGACTTAAGCTGCCTGACCGGTTGAAGGTACATCCCACATTTCATGTATCTTATTTGAAGAAGTATCATCCTGATTTGATTGAGGCAAGCCGAAATGTCTCTACTCGAGCTCCTCCTACTGTGCGGGACCATTTCACGAAAGAGATGGATAAAATTCTGGATCATAGGACCCTTGGCCAGAGTAAGAAGAACTGGCGGACAGACTATCTTGTCCAATGGAAGGGTGAGTCCGAGGCGGACGCTACTTGGATTCGGAACACTAAATTATGGCAGTTTACTGATAAGATTGCTGAGTACGAGGCAAGAAGGATGGTGAACCCCCAGTCGACGAGGGCGTCGACGAGCTCAGGCGGGGGAAGTTTGTTACGGACTTAAGCTTGAGCTGGACCCGGGCGCAGTCCCTTATATGCGCCAAGGGTCAAGAAACCGGGCACTTGTGCACGGTGTCGGATAAGGGAACAAGTACATTGACATGGTAAAGGCTTCGGGCTAGCTTAGCGAGGATGCTGGGTTGCAGGGCCGGGTCAATGTAGACTGAATATGGGATCAGTCAAGTCTTTGCGGGTTGTGCATGGCCAAGCAAAGACGTGCGGGCAAGGTAGCAAGGCGGTACGGCGCCTTTGCACTATGTTGGGCAGGATTAACTCTAAGCTATGCGGGTTGCCGATGCGGCTTGTTGGGCGCGCGAGTGTTGGCGCGACGCTCAAACTGTTGGCGGGAACGGTTAAGGTTTTGAATGCATTTGGGTTGCACGTGGACGCTGTTATTTGGTTCCACGTGGCCTAGGCGGGAAATCTTCAAGTGTGCATGGCAGAATGAATCAGATGGGCGACGCGTGTACAAGACGGTTACAAGACGGTTACATGGGACACGTGGTGCGCTTGTTTTGATATTCCGCGCATTGGACCGTTGTGCGGACGGTTATGCGAAGTAGGCTTAGAACGTGGGCAGTTATAAAACTGCCAGACGGTTTCTGTCCTAGCGGTTGGGGATGTCAACCGCAACTTGCCTGCGGGCCTATAAAAAGGCCTTGAGCTGCACAGTCGCGCGTAATGAGCGATACCGCGAGTTTGTGTGCATGCCTTGGCGAATTTTCCAGCGATAGTGAAATTGTTGGTTGGGCGTGGAGCCCGTAAACATTGTTGTCTTGTTTGTTTACTTGATGCTTGTGTGTGCGTTGCTTGTTGGTGTATTGCTTAAAACACTATTCCGACTTTGTATAATCAAGTTGTGTGTTTAGTGTGAAGGTGAAAGGCTGACTGGTTGGGGTGAAAACCAGGCCGCACAGGGTGCTAAGGGTGCGAAAAATTAAGCCTCTAAGTAAGGCCCTGTGACACCTAGTCTCTGGAACTCGGGTCTTACTCGTCGTCAACCTCGAGAGTCTTCGGTACAGCTTGCTCGCTCTCAGCCTCGGACAACACCCGAGTAACTCCGTCTTAGCCCGAACTGCCTCGCCCAGAAAGGTCTGGTTCTCTCGTCAGCTGCATATACCCTCCCTCATCGTGGAGGTCTGCTCCCGTCAGTTGCAAGGTCACCGTCGGTGGTGCTCGAACCTGTTCAGTTACGGACAGAGCTCGTATCGCCGTGAATATTTTGTCTTCGCCGCTGGTGGCTCTTCCTCGCCGCTGGTGGTGTTCGACCCGTCGCGAAGGTTCAACCCTCATTGCTCCTTTGCTCGCCGGGAGTGGTTGAGGCTCGCGAAGGTCGAAGCCTCGCCGGAGATCGAGGGTCGCCGCTCGTAATCTCGTCGGAAAGGCCGAGGGGAAAGACTAGAAAAATTGGGCAATTTTTCTTCTCGCGATTTGGTGCAGCTCGCGGTTGAGAGGGGCCGAAGGAGTATCTTTTCTCTGATCTGAAATTGAGAGGATATGAAAACGAGAGATGCGAATCGCGAGGGAGAGATCTCTCGAAAGATCGGAACGGAAAAAACACAATCACGCATATAGAGAGTGAGAGACTTGGTCGTTGGAGGAATTTGTTCGGATGAGAGAATTGGGAAAAGGATTGGAGATGATGGAAGAACCGTGTGGTCGAGGGCCGAGTATTAAGGGCTTAATGGCCGGGAATTCGTAGAGTTTGGGTCGAGAGTTAAAGAAACAAAATGCTTACTTGGGCTGAGTTCAAAATTGGTACTCATAGGTAAAATTAAAATTTTGTAAGCTTAGTCACAAAATAAAAGACTTATGCACATTTTGAACACTTAGGGAAATAAATTGGACCCTTAGCAAAATAAAACACTTAGGCATAAAGTCCAAATTAAACAATTAAGAACAACAAATTGAAAAATTAGTACACTTAGGCAAATTTTATACCATTTAAACACTTAGAACGATTTAATAAAACAAGAGCACAACAAATAATTTAAGAAGACGAGGACATCTTCTTAAATCTAAATTTTCGATTAGGTGAATTAATTATGAACATCAAATAGACGCAGACATCTATTTAATTCTGATAAACTTAATAGGGAAAATTGTCGAGCACTACGATTAAAAATAAAAGCGAGTGAAATTAAATAATATAAAATATGCTAACTCATCTAAAATGAACGGGGCACTACAGTGGAACAATACTTCTCGACTCCCCTACTTTATATCGAAAAAGAAGCATCACAAAACAAGATTCTCAACTTACGAGGATAGATAAGGATCATCATAGAATTGAAATGCTTAACTATATCTTAAATCTAATCCCATGCAAAGGAAGAGAAAGCGAACAAAATCCAAAGTACTGAAATTGAGCAGAATAAAGGAGTCTCAAACACAATTCAAAACTGTTTGCCACGCGAAAGGAAAATAAATGAAAGTCTGCAAAGTTTCCGAGAAAGCAAGAACTTAGGAAAAGAAAACAAAAATGATGTGGCTATACGAGTCCACGATTAACTTCCTCCACAATCGATACAAGTCATCACCGATTAGTCCTGCTAACGATAATGGTCTTGGCCTGAAGACACTAAGCAGCACTTTTAGCAAAAGAACTGCCAAAGCCTGAGCTTAACATGACATAATACTGTTATGTATATGCCACAATCCTAGCACGAGACTATGGTGTCTAGAGTTCATCAAAATTCAACATAGCTGGATAAATTCCTAAGCCCCGAAGTACAACACATAAATAATAAACAATCATTTCATAAGTAATCTCAATATTACTTATGACTTACATACCTCAAGCGGTGCAGCATGACGAAGGCGAGTGGTCAATGCGTATTTTCATATACTCATAAATGCACATAAATCACATTGACTAGTATACAGAGACGCAGACTGGCTCTGATACCAAACTGTAACGCCCCACTTTTGTTTGACGAAATTCAAGAACTTTTTAAAATGTCAACTTAAAATTTTTTGAAATCTTTTTCATAAATCAGTGGCGCTACTCAACTCAATCACATAAATCACATAAATCTTACTCGCATAAATCATAAATCATAAATCCAGTGTTTCATTAATCCCAAGGCCATCCAAATTATTCATAAGGGAACATCTCCCAATCCAAAGTTCCAAAGATCCCAAAGTCATAAATCATAAATCCAAAGTCGTAAATGCATAAATAAACATAAATAGTCTAGCATGAGAAATAAACTAAATGAGGTCAGTCAAAGACCAACACCACTCGTCTCTATCTCGTCAGCCAACACCTGCTTAACCAACATCCATGAACAACAGGTGGGAGTGAGCACGGTGAACTGTTGTGCTCACTACTATGCACGTGAACAATAATAAGGTACGAGAAATTAAATGGCATGGTCGATGTATGAACATAGTAAATAAATATCCCATCTCCTAACCAAAGTAATTCTCATGTGCACACCTATAACAATAGACTGCTGCTCGTATGCCTTTCGGCGAACATAAATAAGGTGCCCAAACAGCAGGAGGCTCAGCCGTCACAGCACGCACCTAGTGCTTGGACAGGATATCCATCACCGGCCAGGGCACATTGTTAAGGTCTTACAGATGACTAGGTCCTTAGCAAAGGACAAACGTGGGGATTACCCTTGCGGGGTACGTTCTATAGCTACGGGGATAACCGTTCGACGGTCGGTACAGCTCACATCGAAGATTACATGCTCACATGCATACAATGATCATACCCACATAAATAAAGCAATTATCATTCAAGGCATAGACAAATTTTGAATAACCCACCTGATAATCGAGTAGGAAATAGCACACAAGCTGAAGAACGTAGGTCGAGGGCTCAACTCCTCAAACCTAAAAATTAGGGATTTAATTATTATTATTATGAGTTTTAATTGAAAATATAGATCAACATATAAAACACGTCGGGCACATATATCAGATAAGAGCACATAATGCGACCAAGTTAAACAAATATAATAAGATTATTCAACCAAAATAAGCAATTAAAGTAGCATACTTTTCTATCTCTTTTATCTTAACTCATTAAAGAATATACTATTTCAACATATATATATATATATATATATATATATATATATATCACATAAACAAACTCAATATAAAATAGACCTTATGAACTAATTCAATAATCTGAAACAAAACATACATAAGCTCAGCAAAAAGAATTCACATAAAAGTCTCAGCAACTTAACCAATTCGCATGATCCAAACAAGCAAACAAATATGCCTCCTTCTATCTTTTTTTTTTTTTAAAAAATTTTAAGCCACACATAATAAGGCATTAAGAACATCATGCAAGGCTCTAAAAATTATTTATTATAGGCATGATCAAGATCTACAGCAAAATTAGAAACATTTATATGTCGAAGATTTCTCAGTATACATGCCTCAATTCCTTTCATTTCTCTCCAATTGAATAACACATGATAAAAGGCTTAAAATATAACTAGAATAAAGGCTCTAAGTTTACACAATTTCCAGCATGATAGATACATCACATAAGGTTCAGCACATGGCTAACATAAGGTTCAAATGAGCACATAAGTATATCTCATTTCTCTTTCCAAATTTACATAAGCATATAACTTAGGTTGAAAATTAGTACCTCAATACATGTTTTTAGCTCAAAATATTTAACATACAAACAGTGTAGATATTATCATGCTACAGCCCAACATAAAAGAAAAAAAAAATTAATCCAAGGCAAACACCACCTAGTTCAAGCATTTATGTCCTTCCATACTCAAAAAGCAAAGTCTTAGCACATGAAATAGGCATCATAGCTTAGTATTTAACCTCTAAAATGCCCAAAGAATCAGCAGCGAATAGACCACATAATCAAGGCTAAACATATTCAATCTTATCAAGGCTTTAACATGATCATATTTACCTTGAACTTAACCAATCATACCAATAATTTTGGGCTGAAAATAACATTCTGAACACTAATTTCCAGCACCAAATTTTTATCATAAATGGAGTATGTAAATTCATATAATCTCGGCCACAAGCAAACATGACAAACACCTCATATACTCGAGCAAAACAAAAGGCATAAGTATCAGCCATCTACCTTTCTCAGGACTAGAAACGGGAAGAATAGAATCTGTGACGACTAAAGCTCTCGGCTCTCGAAGACGGCTTGGCTTGTTGCATCCCTCAGCCTGGGTGTCACTTGATCGGTTTGGTAACTGCTGGAAGCCCGGTGGCCCTCGATTGTTTATTCGTCATCGACGACACCCTAGCCTACCCCTGGAAACAGCCGAGCTGCTCGCTGAAGCATTTTGTCGGATACCTTCAGGGTACTTGCTTGCACGAGGGCTGAACAGACCACACATAGTGCACGACATCGAAAGAAGTCGTCTGAACGAGCCGCATCCAACATCTGGTTCAGTTCGGCCGTGAGGGAGCTTGTCTCAACCGCTCAAGAAACCCCATCTCTGCTGCAATTCGTTATACAGAGAGCATTTTTGGTCACTGCTTGATGATCGCCTAAAAGCTCGCCTGCTGTTGCTCGCCATTGCCGACGAAAACTTGCAGGCTCAGGCCGCAAAGAAGAAGAAGATGCTGCTACGAACGGTCGCCAGAGATATTTGCTCGCCCGTGGAGGTGTAAGAGCCCATTATGTTATTAATGTAAATTACGCGTTTAGTTCAGAAATATTTATTTTATCGATCATTATCGTTCGGAACTAATTATTCTAGTCGAGAACGTCCAAATTAATTTTCGAATGTCATGTTTATGCTCGAAATAATTTTTAAGTAATTAATTTCATATGCTATAAATTAATCCATGCTTAATTATAAAGTTTCCAAGCTTAAGTTCATTGATCATGCGTTAGTTTCTTATCGAGTGCCCTAATCGACCATTGATCGCATGCTAAGCCATTGCCGCCCGTCATTAAAGGACAAATTGTCCTTAATGCACGCCAAATGTACTTAGTTAGGGCAATCAAGCTTAAGGTTGGCTAATCAACTCCAAATTGCCGAAAGTTTGGGGCAAACTTCACGTGAGAAGTCATCATGAACACTTACCTTATGTGGCTTTCATCTAGTGCTTAAAGGATGACTAAGCTAAGTCTTTGAGAGCCATATGTACCATGACTAAGCAAGAAGGCCACATTAGGCCTTATACACGCGGTAAGTGGCGCACGGCCATTGGCCGTGACTTCCACTTCATTTTCACCTTAATTCTTTCACCATCGTTTACCTACTATATATCAGAGAAGTTGGGTGAAAATTTCAGCATATTCTCAAGTTAAACACTAAGCCAAAGTTAAGAATAGTTAAGCTAGATTAAGTCATTTCTCACGCACGCACGCACGGAGAAGAAGAACACACCCAAGCTATCGCACG